ACAATAAAAAGTAAATAAATACAATTTCCTGTCTCAACTTTTTCTGAAAGTTATAACTGGACAGATTTATCGAAACTTTAGACGTTTCATTTTCAAATGTTTTCAAATGTTTTCAAATGCATCTTTCTGAAATTAAAATGAAAGAAAACTAAATTTAGCATGAACACGTCTTTGTCTTGACGCCACGCGTTTCCTTCTCTGGTTTCACTTCAGACTCCAGATTCACGTCAGTGTGAACGAGCTACAGCGACACCTTGAGGCCGTCTGGGCGAACCTGACCCCTGACCCTGGATCCAGAAGCCCCGCCCCTCTGATGGTCCAAAGCATGGACATGAGGACTTGGATGGGACATGCTGCGAAGGTGGACGACACACGACAACCCCCCCCCCCACCAACAGCAGACGTCCAGTACTTACTTGTGCATCATGGCCGGGCGAGCGTTTGGCCTGCGCCAACGTGTGCAGGATTTCGTTTAGGAGGGGGGAGTCCTACGAGCGACCACGTGTTTACGATCAGGAAGAAAGAGGAAAGAGAGGAAAGAAGGCATTCAATGCAAACAACACATCGGACTCAAACTGGAGCTGCGTTCAAGTTTCTGAGGTTTGTTTCCTGTTTCAGCAGCTGTAAAAACAAACAACAGCTTCAAGTCAAAACCTCGTTAAAAGCTCTTATCACCATGTCGACCACGTGTTTCCAGATCAAGCTTCTCCAAACCTTCATGACTCAGTTTCCTCATCAATGGACTGATTCATTCTTCTCATTGATTGAAGCCCATCTGTCTCTTATTTACAACCTCCACCGCTGTGTTTGTTGTGTTTGATACACCAGTGTCTCCTCCGCTCTCGTCAAGGTGTATCTTTCCTGCTGCACAGTGTGAGGTAACGATGTGCACGCACAAAAACATGCATACGCCATTTCCTGGAAAGAGGAAATAAACATTTTACAAGAAAAGACGCATCGGCTTAATATCTGTCGATTAGAAGGTGCTTTCACTTTGACGCCAAATCCTCTGCCATCATCTAATCATCACGTGATGCGACTGTATTTTACAGTTTGGAGTTTTTATTCGATGAACACGGGCGCAATCCCTACAGCGCAAAAATGACCCAAATGGTTTTCATGTCTATAACTAGATTTCCCGCCTCCTGGTTGTTTCCCTCCACCAACCAGCCAAGTCGCAGGATATGAAATGTCATCACTTCATTTTGTCTTTTAAAGACGTTTGGCCATAACTCAGATTCATTCACTAATTATGACACAATTTAACTCAAAGACCTTCGTTGACCACGTCCTCTGAAGGATGCGGTTCCTGAAGTGCGACACAGTGTAAATATTCAGGATTGTATTTGTGCTGTTTGCCAGTTTCCCTGTGATTGTGTTCTTATTATTGCGGGAAACGTGTTTTCTCACTGACGGGTCTCATGAGCGAGGAGCAGGCACAAGCAGCGGCGTTGTTGAAGTGAGTTTCTCGGTGCAGTCATGGTGAACTCAGCTCCACGGTGACAGATTTCTGTAGCAGAACGCACGTCTTTATTAATCCGGCAAAAAGACGACGTATGCATGTTTCTGTCTTTGTGCGCACACACAGCTTCTCCTGGTCCCTGGTGTTTCTGTTTGACCGACTCAGCCACATTTACAGACCCAACAGCTGAACTGAGGAGACGAGAGCCTCATGAATCTCTTTCAGTGGATGAATCTCTGCCTGTGACGCTCAGGTCGATACAGTTTTTTCTCTCCGTTCATTAGGATTCATCCTGCGGGGACCAAGAATGGAAGTTAATTGACCCACACCCTCCTCAAACCGTACAGCTCTTCACTCAGACCTGGGTACGTCACAGAGGACCAGTATGATTCAGCTGCAGCCGACTCAGCTCGGTCTGGTTCTGGGAACTTGATGAAGTCGACAAAAAGAAAACAAGAACAAGCTCCTGCTCAAGCAAAAAACAGCAGCAGCTCATGACAGCACAAAATAATAAAATAAACAAAGGTGACGTCATGGAGCAGCCTCCATCCAACATGCAGCGTTAAACCGTGTCTCACTTTTAAAGGAGCAGCCCAACAACAGGTGATCAGTGTCATGTCTTAGCCTAGCTTAGCACAAAGACTGGAAGCGGGGGGAAACTGTTAGCATAGCTCCAATAAAAGAGAGGAAAAAATAAAAAATCACTGACTAAATCAGACAGCCAGTCATTCTATTAGCCTCGATGTACCACACACACACACACACACACACACACACACACACACACACACACACACACACACACACACACACAGCTGAAATGAGGCAATACAGGACATTCTGTGGTGAATCAGTGAGATCTCTTTGTGCTGACGTGATGCTTCTGCTTCTTATAAAACACACCACATGCTGGACTGTAGAGCAGAAAACTAATCCACTATTTGATAATCGATCATTGATTTCAGTCTTTTCTCCAGTGCAAACATTTGCTTCTTCCTGCTGAATGATCTTATATTAAAATCAATACAGAGCTGCGGTGACTGTGCTGAATGCTTGATGCTACACTCACAATGTTTCTTCTAGACTGGTGAGTAAACAGCTGCTAATGCTAACGTTAGCTATTTAGCAAAACAAAACTTTCAAATTAGCTCCTTTAAAAAGGAGAGTAATGTTGGCAGACGTGTGTTTGCTGCAGGACAAAAGACTGACTGTGCTGTTTGGGGAAAAGCTAAGATGCCAAGTAGCTGATTGTTTCAGGAACAGGAACAGGAAGTGTTTAAATCATTAGGGACCATTTGAGAAGCGTATGATCTTGATATAAACCGTGTAGGAATGTTTTCTACGAGTTCATCAGACAGTAACTGAGAAGCAACTTCTTCTATGAGTTTCATGTTGTTTGTTTTGTGTATATTTGTGCGTCCATGAGGCAAAGAATATTAAATACACACGTTGCAGTTTGAGGCGGCCACTTCAGATCGCGTGTATGAGCCGAGATTTTCAAAATAAAACGCCTGCTTTGTTCCTGTGTGTGTGGCTGATGGTAAACTATGAGAATGACGCAGCATAAATCCAGACACCAGCTGTTTACTGCTGCTCCTCTACAAACTTCAGCTCTAAAATTCAATTTCATACCAGGAGAGGAAATGACATTTCGTGGATTTCTGTCTTATCCCATAAACTGTTGTGAAAACACGGGATTACAGAGAAATGAAAGAAGCTTGCTGACAGTAATAGACTCATTTTTATTCCGGCGCACACAGACGACAGAGCGCTTTGTTTGATTTGATCATCTCAGACTGAGACGCTGACAGACTGAAGGTCTTTACTTTTACTGAGCTGCAGTTTGTTCCTCATGTCAGCAGTGCTTTTACATTTCAGAGAAGGAAAATGTTGTTCCTCCTCAAAGATGAAACAAGGATAAGAGTCATGTTCCTGAAGACACAGTCGATATGTGATGAGTGTGTCTCTGTCTACAGACGCTGATGTTTACTCTGCAGAGCTTCACTGTACGAGAGTAAAACTGCTCTGATAATGACACTGTTGAAGTTCATCATAAGCAGAAATAGAAATCTACCAAGTTTGTTCAGAAGTCTTGATCTTACAAACGGACACATCAACGGACCACAAGTCGTGTGTGAGTCATGGCATGAAATCTTATGAATTAGCGACATTAACGTTACCGAGTGTTTCGCTTCCACACTGTTTAGCATTTAGGTCAACACGCTCTTGACCTTTGACCTTTGGCCACCAAAATATAATCAGTTCATTCTTCAGCCCTACTGAATGTGTGTGCCAAATCTGAAGAAGTTCTGTCAAGGCATTACTGAGATATCTCGTTCAGGAGCCGGACAGACGACCTGAAAACAAAATGGCTCCGGCTCTGACTGACGCCGGCGTGGAGGAATAAAAACGACTGAAGATATGAAGTTCTTAAATTCATCAGATCTGTGTTTCCTTTTTGTTGCTCACAGTCCTTTAACACACAAGATCTTCTGTGTCGTGTGTAAACACTAAAAGTTGACTTAACATCCTCGAGCTGTGAAACCAGCGACCTGGTCACCAAGGTCACGCTTTTTAACCCCAGGTCACTTTGAGTGACCCCCCCCACCCCCCACCCCCCGGCTCGCTCCGACACACTCACTGCAAACGAGTCGAGATGAAACATAAAAAAGCACCTGAGCGATGCTGAGTGGAAAAAGCACACGAAACACAATCAGCCAGAAAAACAAACAGAAGCAGAGCGATGACGCAGCCACTCGGCCTTTAATGTTTTCATGTCTCAATACTTTTAATGTGAAAGTATCGTCTGACAGGAAACACAGAGGCTCGTCTCCACCGCTCCATCTGAGCCGCATGGATTCTGCTGAGTGCGTTTATTGATCCTCAGGCCTCTGACGCTCCAGATCACCAGGAGATACTCGTCAATAACAATCTGACTGAAGTGTTAAAAGTCACTGATTTCAAACCGTCATCTCTCCCTGATGAACTTTGTCTTTGTCTCACGAAGCAAAGCTCAAGGTTTGCAGCTTCGTCAGGTATAGAGGAGTCAAACAGATCCAGGTGAGTCACTGAGGAAATCGCCTTCACACCTGTTATTCAGTTTGTCTGAACCGAAGAAAAACTTTTCATTCTGGTGCATTTCATGTTCACAAACCACGAGCAGATATGAGCTTTGTCCAAATTCAGGAGGCACATCCTTCTGTAGACCATGTCCTCTGAAGGATGCGCCTCTCTCAAGAAGTGCAGCACGTGTAGACGTCTCTGCACCTGCTGAAGACTCAATGTGATAAAGACGAAGTTTGAACAGAGGACATAGTCGTTTGTCCTCAGAGAGACACAATTCAAGACAAGACAGACGTGTCTCAACACCGACTGTTCGGACAAAAACAAACCACCCAGTCCATCCTCCGCACAGGAAACAAAGTGTGATCTATAACATTAATATTCTATATTAATATTCTCTCTTTTTACTGAGGAAACATTTGCACTTCCACAGCGTCATGACGGTTCACAGCCACGGTGCGATGTTCGCTCTTACCTCGATGCTGGTGCTAAGGCTGGGCAGAGTGTCCGAGGTCACCGTTGTGCTTTGAAGGCTGGAGAAGTCCCACAGGTTGATGGGCGTCATGGGGTCCGCCCCCTTGGAAGACTCCGTCCATCGCTGACTGTCCAATAAGGTCACTTCATAAAATTCCTGGATATCTGACACAGCAAGGGAGACAAACAGACACACTGTCATTAAACACAGAGACTCCCCCCCCACAAGGCTGTTCCAGGCTGTTCCAGGCTGTTCCAGCCCTCCAAAGTTGAGTTTTAAAAATAATGTTTTTCTTGGTGTACGTCATTCTACGTGACTCAGAGCCGGAGTTCGGAGGCTGGACACATTTCTCTAATGATTTATTTGTATATTTCACTACTTTAGTGAAGCTAAGACTTTGGTAAACCCGTTTCAAGCTCCAAAACTATTCACCCACATGCGCAAAGGTCTGTTTTCACTGTTTCCGCTTTAGGCCAAATTATCTCTTTACAGCTCTACAACGAATGAGTCATTAAACATAGAGCTGAGATTTTTCTGTAAATTTTGATATAAAACACTTGGGTATCACGTTGTATTCAAGCACCTTTAAAAGGTGGGAGATCTGAAAAAGACCTCAGAAGATCTACAGCTGACGGGTTCAAATGATCCGACCAAAAGATCGTATAGTCTCAGCAGACCTCAGGTGTTCAGGAAGCTGGTGATTCTGGGAACACCTGAGGCATCTGGATGCTTCGTATCGTACAAGTAGATCAGAGATGTGTTTAACTTTTACTGTAGTTATCACCTGAATATATTCTGTGTATTTTATTTAAATAACATCTTGGAGGCAGGACTGTAACTTTTTAACTTATGAATGGAGCAGATATTGTTGTGTTGCTACTTTTACTTTATTAAAAGCTTCCTCACAGAAGTAGTAGAAATATATAATTATTCTACAGACTGTAAATCTGAAGCTCCCAGACTTGAAGCAACAGACAGACAGAAGGAGGGAAAACAGAGGAAGTGGGAAACATTCCCCAGAAAACGGGATAAGTGAATCACCTTCCCTGCAAACGACCAGGACATCGTTGTATCTGTAATTGTGGAGGAACTGAGGACAATATGTGCTTTATCAAAACCAGAGACATGTGGATCCACGTGGTTCTCCTCGTCCCTCCGCTGCTCTAAAACATATTTAAACTGTTACTTTATCTGGGATCAGACTGTCGTGTGCACATCAGGTTTCCCTCCACAGGATCATTGACTGTGATTGATTGATGGTCTGATTGATATTATGAGCCTCCCTCTCCCTGCAGTTTAGGGAGAGTCAGTCTGTTTGCATGAGGCTGATGTTATAAAAAGCCTCCAGCCCAGCGGCCACATCCAACACGCCGTCTTATTTTTGGAGGAGAGCTCGCAGAGAGCGGAGATCTAAAATAACCGGAGCTTTCTTTGGCTCGGCGAGGGCAGCTGACCATCGGCCGGCACAGATGTTTTCCCATAAACCATCAGATCAGCACTTCAACAGCTCCTCAGGACGATCGCTGCAGCTACCGGTCGACCGTCAGGATCAAACTGCCACCCACAGTTCAACACGACCTCACCCTATTAAAGCAGAGAGCTTTACGTTGTTTACATTTTATTCAACAGTCACAACAAAGTAATGTTGCATGAAGGCAGTTATGGAGTCATAGGAGCGCCACACAAAAAGAATAAATCTGTAAAAGAATGACACAATAAATGTGAAAATATAAACATGAATAAAACAGTTAAAAATCTTTTCAAAAAATTAAAAGGTGTTGAGTTTAGTTTGTTTTTTGACAGGGAAACTGCACAAAGACTTTATAGCTATTGTGCTAATTCTCTCTCTCTATATATCAATATATCTATAGATGGATAGATAGATAGATTTTAGCTCACCAGTTGTGTAATATCATTCCTCCGCTGTTATTTTTTTGTTATAACAAATATCATATATAAAATTAGATATTTAAGTATGTCTTTTAAGTACTTGATAGCAGTTTTTTTTCTTTGTACTGAACTGAACTTGTACTTTCTTTTCTGTGCATCACTTTGCTGCTGTAACTCTTATAAAGGAATATCTTATTTTCTTATTCTTCTTTTATACATTTGTTATGGCACTCCTATAACTCCTATAACTCCTATAACTCCTGTAACTCCTGTAACTCCTGTAACTCCTGTAACCCCTGTAACTCCTGTAACTCCTGTAACTAACTCCTGTAACTCCTGTAACTCCTGTATCTCCTGTAACCCCTGTAACTCCTGTAACTCCTGTAACTAACTCCTGTAACTCCTGTAACTCCTGTAACTCCTGTAACCCCTGTAACTCCTGTAACTCCTGTAACTAACTCCTGTAACTCCTGTAACTCCTATAACTCCTATAACTCCTGTAACTCCTGTAACTCCTATAACTCCTGTAACTCCTATAACTCCTGTAACTCCTGTAACTAACTCCTGTAACTCCTGTAACTCCTGTAACTAACTCCTGTAACTCCTGTAACTCCTTTAACTCCTGTAACTCCTGTAACTCCTGTAACTCCTGTAACTCCTGTAACTAACTCCTGTAACTCCTTTAACTCCTATAACTCCTTTAACTCCTATAACTCCTGTAACTCCTGTAACTCCTGTAACTAACTCCTGTAACTCCTGTAACTCCTATAACTCCTGTAACTCCTGTAACTCCTATAACTCCTGTAACTCCTGTAACTCCTGTAACTCCTATAACTCCTGTAACTAACTCCTGTAACTCCTATAACTCCTGTAACTCCTGTAACTCCTGTAACTCCTGTAACTCCTGTAACTAACTCCTGTAACTCCTGTAACTAACTCCTGTAACTCCTGTAACTCCTGTAACTCCTATAACTCCTGTAACTAACTCCTGTAACTCCTGTAACTCCTGTAACTAACTCCTGTAACTCCTGTAACTCCTGTAACTCCTGTAACTCCTGTAACTCCTATAACTCCTGTAACTAACTCCTGTAACTCCTATAACTCCTGTAACTCCTGTAACTCCTGTAACTCCTGTAACTCCGTAGGAAGCAGCATTGTGACAAATATCAGAATTACAAACAGCTTCCATGTTTCTCAGTGTTGTTACAGCTTCTCTTACAGCAGCTAGTCAACAGTCCACCAGACGCATGTGCGGCAAGAGAGGCTTCAGCCTTTTGATACCTTTGATTAATCTTATTTATTTTGATCCAATCTGTGTTTAAATCTTTAACATAAAAATGTATAATTATATATATTTAGATATTATATTGATTTATCTATTTTTTTTAATTAGTTTTTCTGTTCAATTGTATTTAGAGTTAAAGTTCAGTGTTTCTTTTAGGGCTGTGCAATTAATTGAATTTCGATTTCAGCTCCCAACGATCACCAAAATAGTACAATCGAGAAAAAACAATTATTTTGCATGTTCTGTTTTGCAAGAACACTCTTATTTTGTCTTGCGTTCTGAATGACATGCGCATGCGCACATCCGCCCCTCCCGAAGCCACAAACTCTCTCAGCCAGAGGGAGGCAGGTCGTGTGCATATCATCCGCTGGAATTTAAAAACTCTGCGTGAGTAAAGATGGCAGACGGAGGGCAGCTACAGCAGCGTTTGGTGAGCAAAAAAGGCAAAACCAACTCCGTTGTCTGGGAACAGTTTGGCTTCGAGGAATCCGACGACGAGAGAAACATGCTACGTGCTACATGGTAGTGGCTGCAACGCAAGTGAACACCACGATGGCAAAAAAAGGTGTCTTTTTAATAAATGCAACACTTTCCCAAAGTCATGTGAAATAATCATGTTACATAATCATGATTTCAATATTGACCAAAATAATCGTGATTACGACTTTTTCCATAATCGAGCAGCCCTAGTTTCTTTAAAGTTTAATTAATGTGTGCTAAATGCTTTTATCAATAAACTCACACTAAACGCTGAGAACATTTTGTCTTCAGTGGATAAACTGTCGACCTTCTCCTTTCATCAGTAGCAAATAGAAATCAGCCATCAGAGCACAGCGGAAACTAAACTCGACTTCCTTCGGCTCGGCTCTTTCACAGTAAAAGCCTCACATGGTGACGGCACAGCAGTGCCACGTGGAGCCGCTGCAGTGACTCCGCTCTGTAATCTCGTCTGTGCAGCTTCAGACCAACTCTGTTTTGACTGCACACGATTACAGCAGCATCCAATCCCTCGACCGGCCCACGGTCCGACAGCAGCCGGTTCACCACGTCAGAGACGCATCAGGTCAAACTACAGTTTCTATCAGGTACGGTTCATGGACCGGGTCTAAACACTGACCCACATCAGCTGCAAGAGAAACACTGTCAGCACAGTCGGAGCCGAATGACTGAAGACAGAGGCCCCAAACACAGATATGATTTTCACTGATATCATCAGCTGTTATGTAAAACCCTTTGATGACTGAAAATAGCTCCAAATATCAACATAGCACAGAAGCTGACGTAAGACCTAAAAATACCAAGTTTTTCCCTTTTTGTGTCCAAACCCATCTCACAGCATTTCTGATAACAGCTCCATTAATTCTGTGTTGAGCCACAGCAGCCTGGTTCTGGGGACATCAGCGCCGGCTGGTTCAGACGTTCCCGGTCCCCAGAGTCTGAAGCTTACCGACTCTGGTGACCCTCCGGCTCCACCAGCAGGCTGACAGTCATAGCTTTTGTATTTGCCTGAGTGACGCCGGGCCGTCCTCTGATAAACTTCCACGGGCTAAACAGGCAGTTTGTCACGAGGTCACCAAACTCATCGGGGTTAATCCTCTGGGAACCTCGCTACTGGGGATGGGTACAGAAACCTGGGGGCTAAATGTTTAAAGACCGTAGTATCGATAAGCTCTGACGTTATCAGTTCTGCTCTCGGTGCTGGAAAAATGAAGAAAATGGACTTTACGTTTGTTATTGCTACATGAAAGTTGCAGTTTCTGATCAAGACATTCGTCTATGATGCATTTTCACTGTTCCCTGCGCAGAAGCTGAACTACTACACAGTCAAAATACTGTCCTGTAGTAAATCATTGTGTATTACATTTGTTTTGCACCATTAACAGTTCATTTCTTCACCTGAGCAGAAACCTTGACATATCAAACGCAGACGTCGTCTTCAAACACAAAAAAACCAACACGCACAGTTGAAGCTGAAACACTCAGGTGAAT